AAAAAAAAAAAAAAAAAAACGAGGGGCCACTCACAAGGCGCGGGGCTTCAAAAAAGCGGCTGATGGCCAGAACCGCCAGGGGGCCAAGCAACATATTGAGCCACCTAAGCCCAAGCCCGCCCTTTCAGGAGTTCCATGTTGGTTTGGGAATGGTATCTCTGGATGCTCAGATTTTTGAAGAGGTTCAGGCAAGTTGGGCCTGGCTGTCTGTTGTACGAGGTCCGATCATATCCAGGAACTGCACCGACGTCCTCCCGCTCACGGGTTTCGAGTTCACTGGCACTTTGGAGAACTACCCCTTGCAATGACATTTGCTGCAAGGACTAATACTTCGAACATGCATAACCCTTGGTCAAAGGCTCTGGTTCGACGGCTCTGCCAAGGGCAAAAATCAAGTGGTGTTTGGTACCCTGCTAGTGCCAATTGCATTAAGTTATACTAAGTTGAAGTTGCCAGCTCGCTGACAACAATACAAGGAACAAGGGGCTCAAGAGTAAGGAATCGAGGTAAAGCAAGAAAGCCTCCATCGATGACAATGGCATGAAGAGTAAGCCGAGCGTAACTGGCGTCAGCAGCGGGCCATGGAGAAACGCTTCCCAAAATATGATGTAGGAATACTCAAGGGGCCCCATATTTGGGATAACTGAAAACTGCCTGAGACTTTTCAGAACCTCCTAAGGCCTATATGGTCTCCTGATATCGCACTACGCCCAGGCTTAAGCAAAGACATACGAAGGATCAGCCTCGGATAAGTGTGTGTTTGGCCCACATGAATGTAAGAAACCTTTTCGGAGAATTGACTCTAAGGCACGCCCTAGCTCCTGCCCCTACAAAAGCCTAGTCAAGTTTCAGAATTCTCTTTGACAAGGACGACTCTGTGCAAGCACAACATTCCAACAGAAACCGCGATAAGCCACACACAGTACTACAACCAACTACTGATGCCTACGCCCTACACCTAAAACCCTAAATAGTGGTCAGCCCATGCTCTCTTTCATTCCTATGTATCCCTACATTATCTCTATGTGAGCTATAGTCTAAACTCCTAGTATCCCCCTTAATAACCCCTATAGTATTACCCTATATAATCCCCTTATTACCCCCTTTATGGAGTTTAGACCCTAAACCCTAAACCCTATATAACCCTATATAATCCCCTATATAACCCTATCTAATACCCCTATATAACCCCCCATAAGGAGTTTAGACTATAGCTTATGTAACCCCTGATGAGGTCCTTGGCAGTCCCCCTGTTGGCAAAGCGGATCTGCCCTTGCAGGTAGTCCGGCAGGAAGACGGTCTGGTTGAGATCAGACCAGTGTTCAACCTTAGGTTAGAGGGTTAGGGTTTAGGGTTAAGGGTTGAAACAGGGTTGAAGCTTGGGGTTCAGAGCTTGGCTTTAGGGTGTGGAGTTCAGGATTTGGGGTTGCAGGACTCCAAAACAAGCAATGTCTGGAGGGATTTCCCAAAGATTCAAGAAAAGGAGAAACCTTAAACCCTAAACCCTAAACCCTAAATCCTAAACCCTATACCCTAAACCCTAGCAGTAACCTCAACCTCCTGAGGCTGTCCAGTGGCACCGGCATGCTGCGCGAGGGCTAGGCCCAGGAGCATGAAATTCGTGCTGCTGTAGCCTAGGTTTTAGGGTTTTAGGGTTTAGGGTTTGGGGTTTGGGGTTTAGGGGGTTCAAGGATGTTGAGGCCCAAAGAATCTAAGGGCTTGTCGGTGGCTGGGAGGCTTGAGGGGTTTTGGAAACTATAATCCCCCCTTCCTGTACCCACAATTTGGAAAAGTAGGATGGTTCTGGGAGTAACGGCAAGCGCTGTGTTCATGCTTCCCTACAGTCAGACTTTATGGAAGTGAGAGGGCAGTTTGGGATTGCATAAAGCTTGTATGAGCATTGTGAAGAATTGTATGGGAATGGTAGCGTGTGAGGATAAGGGATCCACTGAGGTCCCTGCAACTGGGAGCTTTGAGGCCTTGCAATTGTTCATCCTCGCTTACCTATTTTTCTCAATATCTGAAATTAACCGGTTGAGGGCTTGGGGCCGAATAGCAATCATGTTGGGGACCCTATATAGTACATGTTCCCCTTGTACCACCATTACTGAGGGAGCCTAACCCAAAAGACTATCTGAAATTCCAACTCAATATTCCTTATCGGGACTCTTGTGGGGGTACAATAGAATTAGAAATCGCATCCAACGACGTCCCAATATCATCTGGAGGTTCACGGGCGTTCTTCATGCATGGGACTCGGGCCCCAAATTCGCCCGTAACTACACTTGCCCTTGCCATTACTTGCCGAGAAGCAGAATTTGCCAATGATCAAGTGCGAGCTGCACTCCTCACATCTAGGTTTAGAGCTACAGTCCCGCTTAAGTAGATGGAATATGGCTTTGGGTATAGTATCGTAAGATCCCCATATAGCCCATATTCTATCTACTTAAGGGGGATTAAATCCTAAACTCTAAACCCTAGACCCTAAACCCTGAACCCTAAACCCTATATTCTATCTACTTAAGGGGGACAATAGGGTTAGGGCTTCAGGGCTCCGAGCTTTGGGGCTTCGGGGTTCCGAAGGACGGCCCATGAGGGGACCCTTGCAAGGTCCATCCATCTGCTATAGTCCCCCTCAAGTAGTTAGGGTTTAGGGTTTAGGGTTTAGGGTACCCCTTAAGTAGATAGAATATGGTTTCATGGGGATCTTATCTCATATACCCAAAGCCAATTCTATCTACAAAGGGGGATGATAGTTTCTTAGAATGAGGATGCCCTTAGGGAACACGGGGATAGACAGGGATGGCAGGGGATCTTGAGAAACACAGGGTTTCGGGTGTAATGTTTTAAACTTTGGCAGAAGAATCTATCTGAGGCCATCGGGTTAGGAAAAAAAAACATCACTTAGAGGCTATGTGGTGCGGTAGCGTTTGGGACTGCTGATCTATTGGGCTAAGAGTGGGGACCTTTGCAAGGTTTTCCGGTTCAGGGTTCGGGTTTACAGGGTTAGGGTTTCAATGAGTCGTGGTGCAATTCTTTGGAAGGCTATTCCAGATTACTTGAACAAGACGGGAGGTAGAATGGCGCTTTACTGCCTGAGCCTTCCCTGAAACCTAGATCATGGACTCCCCTACTACCCCCCTATACGACCCCCACCTAGGTTCACCCTTACGAACCCCTAACCAACCCTGAAAATACTTAAATAACCAACCTTTGGGGGGGAGTCGTAGCAGGGGAATCTACACTCACAATGTGCGCAAATTTTCAACACAAGCCCCTGCGCTATCCCAAAGCCACACTCTTAGACATTTCTAGCGGCCTTGAGTTTCCCCACTATGCAAGCGACAAACCTCACTCTCTGAAAAGGAACGAGAAGGAATTAGGTAGGCAAAGTACGAAACACTGGCGTTATCTATGGTGTTATAAGAAACTAAGGGAAATTACCTAGATATAACTTGGAAACGGCTTGCCTTGGTGTGACCAGCCACCCACGGCACACTCCTCAGGCATAGGGTCCACATAGCCCCCTCTTCAAAAGGACAGTGGCGTCTCCCAGCTATTTTGTAAGTCCTATATTAATCTGTTGGGAGCATGTAGGTGCTCCCAGAGCTTTCCTGAAAAGTCTGGTTCGCATCGCATGTTTTGCTGCTGATGAAAAACACATAAATGACATCTACGATGTCAGATCTCATTGAGCTTACATGCAGATGACCCTTACCGGCTGTCGCAAACTTGATCGTCTCAAGCTTGACTGCCATAAAGGCTACACTCTAAACCTGCAATTGGGCCGTCCAACCCCGAAACAGTCCAAGCCGTCCGGTGCTTCAGTGACTCTAGAGTGCCATGTTGGGGGCTTCAACCAGACATTCAGGGTTCAGTTACCGTTTGGCCCATACTTTCGTGTACGGGACCCTGAAACCAGACCTAGTCCCGAAAACGCCCAACAACTCAAACGCTACTGCGCACCCTACTAATTCATCACCCTAATGCTCTGCTGAACCCACTCAAAAGATGCATACTTTCCATACATATATGTATATACATATGTGTATATACGAATATATACACATCTACCCATCCCTAGAGAACTGCTAAAGTCGCTGAAACAGACCTCTGGAAACCTACTGCTTGGAGCGTCAGGGGGACTTCGTAAGTAGGCTATATTTCCCTATAACCCATGTAGGAACCCGAAATATCCCAACTGACCTACTTACTAAGTCCCCCTGACCCTAACACCCTAAACCCTAAACCCTAAACCCTAAATCCAAAAATGCTTCCAGGGGCATGAGCTCCGCTGGCTCGTAGAAGTGGTCCGGCTGTTGGTAGAGCTCCGCACGCAAAGGGTCCTCCGACGTCTGGGATTCTAGCTTGGCGTTTCAGGTTCGGAGGTATCTTTTGGGGCTTCCCCATAATAAGGATTCTAATTTTTGGAAGTCTATATTGGGGTCCCCCTTTTTGGGGGAAACTACCGTTTGGGGTGTTGGGGTCAAGGTTTCAGCTTTAAGTATTCCGAGCGTTTGGCTTCAAAATGTGGAGTTTGGGATTTAGGGGTTTAAGGTTCTGGGTTCAAGGAATGAGGGCAAGTGGCTCACGAAACCCACACACTTTTACATGGAAATTGTGGGACAGTGCGCCGTAGAGCAGCTGGCTAGCACTGTTGATGCACCACATCCAGCGGAACCTTCATCTTGCAAGTCTAGACCTGCCACCTCAAAACTGCAACTTTAGCAAACCCAACTGCGGCGAAAAAAAACACAACCAGCTTCATAATAAGAGTAATAAGTATACTAATAGTAATAGTAATAATAGTACGTAATCATAAAAATAGTTTCCAGAACTGAAACTCCATGCTCCAAAGCCCTGCCCTCCTAGGGTTTAGGGTTGAGGGTTCCAGTGCAACGTGTTGAGGTCCTTCGAAATGCCTGTCTTGGCTGGCTGCGCAGTGTCAAAGTCGGGGATGGAAGACCTTTGAGCCGAGTTCGGGGTCTTGAACGGAGGAAACTTTTCACCATTCAGGTTGGATCACCGAATTTCTCCAGCTCGAAACATTTACGGAGTATGGGCTGGATTTCGTCCATGCACAAGCGGAAAGTTCAGGACTCAAAAACAAGTAGACCACGCCACCAAAGGTAAACAGGTTCAAAAAAACAGGCCGAAAGACGCTTAGCTTGCTGCTGGCTAGTAAGCAAGAAAGGATACATAAACGCTGTAATATATATATATATACCTTTATTCCTTTCTGGCGACCAGCAAGTCAATTCCTAGGTGAATCTCCGCGCCTCCGGACTGAAGTCTGTGACGCTGACACCGGAAAAGCAGACCCTAAACCCTAAACCCTTAACCCGAAACCCCAAACCCTACACCCTAAACCCTTAACCCAAAACCCTTAACCCAAAACCCTTAACCCTAAACCCTAGACCCTAAACCCTAGACCCTAGACCCTAGACCCAACACTAAACCCAAAATAGACCAACTATGGGAGGGCGGCTTCCCAGGGGGTTGGTTGCATTAAGGGGTACATAAGTGATGTTGTCCGCCTGAGGTAGGTAGAATATGGCTTTGGGTCTACTATAACAAGATCCCGATATACCACATATTCTACCTACTCAAGGGGGACTATGTATGAGAACCATGCAAAGTTGTATCAGGAGTACATAGGGATTGTGTAAGGTTGTTACATGTTAATTCCACTTCTGTAGTTGCTTTGGACAAAAGGGGTCGTGACAAATGCCCAGGCTAGACTTTGAATCCTAAACCCTAAATCCCAAAGCCCTTAACTTAAACCTGAATCCTGAATCCCACAATCCTGAAGCCTGCATCATTAACCCTCAATCCCAAAAGTCCGCAACCCAATCATTAATTCATCGCTGTAGTCGTCGGTATATAATTCCCCAATGATCTGGTGTTTGCATTTTCTCTGTCGCTGATTCATGCCCGCCTCACCACAGGTAAGTGAAAACTGTTTCCATTTCATTTTCCATGTTGTTTCTCATTATTTGCAGCCACTACGGCTGACAGCAGCTCGAAGCAGTCGATCTTCGGGCCAAGGCTCCTTTTCTGCTAGAGGCTCTGAACAGGCTCCTTTGAAACCTACAGGTTACGCGTTCTGTCTGAGCCATAGCTGCCTGAGCCGCTCTGCCGTGAGCTGCCAAGTCCCAATTCCCGGGCCTCCTGTTGGTGATCACGCTCTCTCTGGTGGTAAGTGGTAAGGTTTTAACCTTCCGCGGGGTGAAGAGAGCAACTCTTGTAGTTGTGAAAATAGCGCACGGCGCGTCTACGCCAACTCCGTGTTTTTCTCCAGTTTATGGTTACAGGTGGACCTGTCGCACATCGGGCATCAAGGAACAGCTTTGTAGCTGCATTCAGCTATGGCGGCTGTTTCTGCGGACGCATACTTCGGCGGATGCTCTCACGTCACCAACCACACAGATTGCGGGACATCAAGCTGTTTGCGGGGCATTGCCCCAGAAGAAAGCGGGCATTGCCCCAGGACGACGGACTACCTCTGCTGAGTGTGACGGCCTTTGTGACTGGTCAACAGTGGTGCCTCTGCACAGGCTTCGTGGGTCTTGGCTGCACAACGAGGGCAAACTCCGCACCAGCAAGCCCCAGCAGGCAAACTTTGGTTCGTGACACTACGTCTCTGCAGAAGAAGCCATGGCGAGCGTCTTCGGTCCAGACACGTGGCTTTCCAGGTACGGTTCCACGGTGCAGCTGGGTACAGTCAGAATGCGGACGCGCTTGCTGTGCTAAGGGTGGCGGGCTTCGGCTACGGCCCTCCCAGTTGTGGTCGTTACTGTCCTGTTACCGACGGGGTCAGGCAGTGCTAGGAGTGACGGCCTTTGTGACTTGTGAGCAACGGTGTCTTTGCACAGGCTTCGTGTGTTTAGATTGTATAATAGAGGACAGTAACACTTCTTGGCAGGGAGTTCGAGGTTGGGAAGATGCCATACTGGCGGGATGTCCGGCCCGGCTCAATGTACAACTCTGCTGCTTCTGTAGGGTGCCATTGGTGCGGGAAGAGGTAGTCACTCTGCAAGGGGGCGCTTCCTCCCCGCATAAAAGCCAGACGTGTTCTTGGGACACGGTGCGGGTCCCACCGCTTTGTGCTTTCCGACCGCTTGTCGCCGAGAGGCGTGTCGCCAGCGAGCTATTCTCCTGACGCAAGTGCTAGCTAGGCATTGCGGCAATGTACAGACAGCTGTTGTGCCAAGCTCTCGAGTTTCAGTTCTTTCTTTTATCAAGTTGCTGCACGTAGACAATTCAGTTTCCTTCTCTGAGTCTGTAGACAGATCTGTTCTTTTCAGGCCGCGCTGGCTTACGGCACGTCTGCAACTTTCAGGTCATGCGCCCGCCAAGCTCCGAGAACGCTTGAGCTGCGTTCATAAAAGATTCCCACTGTTTGCCAGTACTGGCGAGTAATTAGACCCCTGCATTACATAATCCCTACTAACCACAGGGAAGTCATTGCTAGTCAAAGCCAAGTTCTAAAAACCCCAGAAAGGCCCCAGGTTCCCGTTTGGTGTTCCATTTTCTCTTCCATTCGATTCTCCGTTTTTGGGGTAGTATCCATATATAACCCATATATAATGCTAACCAGAGGGCATCTTTTGTGCGCCTGAACCCTTGACAATTAGGCCCTAAACCTTACACCCCGAACCCTAACCTTAAACCCTTTTTCACGCACCGCCTGGCCTGAGGTTCTAAGCCCTAGACCCTAAAACAAGTCAGGAGGCGTCATGCCCAGAAGCTCCCGCAGCGTCGTCTTCGCAGCGTTTGCGCCCCAAAGCTCCTCGACGCTGGTGAAATTCTGCTTCGGATCCTGAGACATGGTTTCAGGTTAAGGGTGTTTTCAAATTTTAAAGTTCAGGCTTTTTAGGGTTTAGGGTTTTGGAAAACATTCGTTGGACCTTGGTGCTCCTTTGATGCCTGCACGATATGGCTGGGGGCCTTAGGTTTTTTGGGGGGGTTCAATTCAGGAATCGGGCTTAGGTTCAGGTACAAGACGTGGGCAAAGGGGGATGTATAGGGATCTCTGGGGATCTAAAAGGCTTAGGGCTTAGGAATGAACACTGAAATGGAAACAGGCTCTAGAATAGACCCTAAACCCTTTTTAGGGATTGGGGCTTGGGAAAACTCATGGCTCGGGGGTTTGGAGTTTGGAATGAAGGTTTTGGGCTTGGGATTCCGGTTTCTCGAGTTTGGGATCAACGGCTTCGGGCTTCTAACAAGGGATCATGGTACAGGATCTTAGGGCGGTTTGGGTTCAGGACTTTGCCACATAGCATTCCGCCCTCACAGCAAAAAGACTCTATTTGTTTCTGAGCAGTCCTTCGCCGCCATCTTCTTCAGGACGGTGTCCACCAGTGGAGCGATTTCATCATCGAGTCCTGGGCTCTCATAAGGAATCAAACAATTCTTGGCTTAACATCTTGGTTCATACCTGCAGAATTTTGTGAACACAACGTTCACCGTAAGCTTCAAGGTTTTAGCCGCAAGGCTTGCGGTCTGGATTTTCGTGTTTAAGCGCTCAAAGTCTAGAATCACTTCCCTCCCAGCGAACCACCCTCCCCAATGCTGTTCAAGCAAACAAACCAGTTATAAGGTGGGTCTGTTTGAAGGGAAACTAATACAAACCTCATATTATATATATATATGTATGTTATATCGCCGCTACTTTTATATGAGCCGGGCGCCAAAAACCCTAAACCCCACCGAATGGAAACTACCCACCTCCCTAAACCCCAAACTCCAAAACCCCTAGACCTTACAGTGGCATCCTGGAGGTGTCCCCAGTTTGGCATTTGGTTCCAAAGGTTAGGGTTTAGGGTTCAGGGGTTTAGGGGTTTAGGGAAATAGCGTCTGCGTCGGGCCCATGGTTCATGTAACCAAAAACTACATACATGACGGATGCCTCTGTTACTGCTACTGTACCTCTTACTGCTATTTAGAAGATATGACTCAGATGAATAATCACTGTTACGAGAAGTGGCTCTTACTGTCACGATGAGTATGACTACTATGACTGATGTTGCACTGAAGCAACTATTGTGACTGTTGCTCTCGCGCTTACAATAACTCTTCACCCCCTTGACCCACAAGCTTCTGCCTGGGCTCGAAAGGCACCTGCCGCCACCAACTTCATGATGGACGCCGCGGTGAACATCTTCGTGACACCTAGGTTACAATCGGGAACCCCAAGAATGTAGTAGAAATGTAGCCGGAATATGCCTACCAAGGTCCTTATATTCCTATTTCATTCCTACTGTATTATTGGGGGTCCCCTGCTTAGGGTTCTTTATAGGCTAGGCTGGCCTTTTGGAAAGCACTGGTGATATCAATAATAGCAAAAATGGGAGACTACAGGATATCTTCTGATCGTAAATTGGGTGTACTACCTAGCAGCTGTGGGAATGAGACGGCACGGCTTAGGTATACCAACCCTCATTTGGAAGTTACTGAGAATAGGTCGACTATAGCGGCGTTGAGGGTGTGAGACCTTGGACTGGAGAAAAAGTGCGTGGGTGAGACACCCTCGGCCCAGTGGCCTCTACCAAGCCCAAGCTGGTCCCAACCCCCCAGGACCCATGCAGAAACGCCACGAGATTACGAGGTCCTTATTGAAGGGTACATGTTTTCTTCGATGCCCATAATGCTATATGGGTTGCTTTTTTGGATCCCTATAATAATGCGGCACCTAATATTTGAGGTACCCAAAAAGGACCATAATTTCGACAACAAGCCATATTTTGAGACGAGCAAGTCGTCGAGCGGGGAGACCTGCTGGACTTCTCCAGGCAGGAAGTATCTAAAAGTCCCAGGTAGGCACGTTACCAACTCGCGCAGGCTTTAACAGCAACCAGAAGGCACCAAAGGATGTACACATCAGTTGCAACTTGAACACAAGGGTCCGGCAGAGAATTGCAAAACACATCTGGGCACGATTTGTAGTACAGTACCTTGAGGTCCGAAAGCCGAACCCTGATCTTCAAAATTCCCCATACGACAAAGGCGCTAGGTATGGGTACCCTGTGCTGCCCGGAGTCACAACTTCAGCACGGCTCGTACTAGATGAGATGTGATGACACATCATAGCAGCAACACTAGCCGATGGAGTTGAAGTTGAATGGGCACGCATTGCAAACAAGGGACGTGTTGGGAGAATCAAGTAAGCATAAGACCCTGAAGACATAAGCGCTCTAGAAAGGAAACCCTTTATGACCAACACCAAGCTGCTCCCCCAGGGATACCTCAGTTGCAGGCAGGTTTTTTGAACGATTTCGAGGTTAGTGAACTCGAACATCTGCAGCCACATGATATTGCCCCGTTTGCCTTGGGACCTATCTGATGCCCAACTGTTGCCCCCCCACTACGAAACACAGGCAACAAAGTTCAAGGATGCACCCATCATCAAATCTAGTAAGGACCCATTGGACAAGCCGAAAGCACGAACGAAAGAATGCGCAAAAATCAAGATCCTGCTTTTTCCACACGTCCTGTCTATCATCTGGGGTCCGAACTCGAGGCTCTGTGTGGTTGCTGTGATGATGAAACCCAGCTCTGGTAGACCCGTTTAGGGTTTAGGCTAGTAAGGAGGATAACTAGGGTTAAGTCCCACTGACCATCCAAGTAGGGTTCAGGGTTTATGGTAGAGGAATGTAACCGTACCCTGCCTTCCCACACAATAGTCCTCAAATCTATCCCTTCTTGCAACAAGAGTGTGCGCACCTTTCACCTGGAAAGCTACCCCCTAAATCCTTATCCCTTGGGTCATTCCCCCACCCAGTAACTGTCCGTAAAGGGTGCCTTATTTAGGGCTATTATACTTCCTACTACCCCTTGTGGTAACTGTTACTGTAAGGGGGAACCCTAAACCCTAAACCCTAAATAGCCCAACTTATCCCAAAGAGACAGAATCCCCAAAGCCTGACTCTATAGGATCCATCAAGCAACAAGTCCGTGGCCAACGCCTTCTGTCCAGCCTCCGTAGCTGAAACTTGCGTGGCTCAGCGCTTTTAAGCAAGGGATTTTGGTAACCCCAACCTCCAAAATATGGACCCCATAACAGTCATATGATAGTCACAGGGTCCTAATTGTGGGTTGGGGCTACAAAATATACCATAAACCCTAAACCCCAAACCCTAAACGCTTTAGGCAGGATTCAAGAGCCGGGCTTCTATGTGATTTAGATCCGAAACTTCTGGGAGTCCAGGCTTTCTAAGGAACGAGGCCAGGTTTGGGGGCCCTTAAAGATCATTCCAGGGATTCTATACTATATAATCCCTATAAAGCCTATATAGGGATCAAGGGTAATAAAACATAAAATCTACAAATATGTTCTATGGCCTTATAAGGATTATGTAGGACTTAATGAAATTAAGAAAATAGGTTCAAACCTATGTTTGCGGAATTGTAGGGTTGATTTTAGCACTCTCCATCTGTGGTTTAGGCTTTAATGTTTAGTTAATAGGGCCTCAATATGGGTTGTTCTCAAAACTATGGACCCCTTTTGGTTATATATCATAATACCTAGGGTTGCAGTGGCCAGTGCGCTCGCTACTGCTCAGAAAGCATCTGAAGCAAGAATCCGGCATTGTTTGCACAGCCTGGATGTGGGTGGATGTCAAAAATATAGACCCTCTTTGGGTCCCTATTATAGTACGGCACCTAATATTTAGGGTACCCCAAAAAAAAAAACATAATGTTGACAACCACCCATGTAAAAGGGGTTCGGTAGGAGCGGGAGTTGGCTTTGTGGGCCTGATGCCCTAAACCCAAAACCGCGCTGCGGGTGTAGGTTTTTAGCTTAAGGATTGTTTTTTGAGTTTTAGGGTCTGGGGTTGTTTTTGGGGTAGATGTAGGGTTTAGAGTTTCGAGTTTTGGGAGTAGACCCTGCACCCTAAACCCTAAGTCTTAATTTGACACGCCAAGCTTAAGGTTTGGTTTTGGAGCCTTACGGTCCCTTCAGGGGTGGAGTTTGGAGAGATAACTCGCGCCTATCCCCAATAGTGGGTACCACAAAGGACTACTGTAGGTATATGGTTAGTTCCCAAAATTCTCTAAAACTAAAACCCTAAACCCTTAACCCGGAAACCTTTAAACCTAAACCCGGAAACCCTAAAACCCTAAAACCCTAACCCCTAAACCCCCAAATCCTAAACCCTTAACCCCCAAAACCTTAATCCCTAAACCCCAAAAACCCAAAACCCCCAAGCAGGCTCAGAACCCAACCTCAAAGTTGGTGATGCCGGCGGCGGCCTGCGCAGACCCCTCGGATGTCCGGACCTGGGTGGCTTTTAAATGGCTTTGGGTTTAGGGTTTAGGGTTTAGGGTTTAGGGGGCTTTGGGTTATTTAGGCATGTCAAGTGCTGTAGAGGGACACATAAAAGTCAACGGGTTTGAGGGTTTGGGAATTTAGGGAATTTAGGGTTCAAGATCTGGATGCGGTTTGAGGCTTCCGTGTTGATCGCGCCTCTTTCCACTTGCCATGCGGCTTGGTGATTGCCGTTTGGGCTTTGGGTTGTAGATAAGCCCCATTCAGAGAATAGGTATATTGGGTTTACAGTGGTAGGGGGAAGGCTTCTGATGTGAAATAAGATTTCGCTTTTAAGGAACTTTGGTGTCGCTTCACGTATAACGTGAGGGTCTAGGCTGAAGGTATTGAAGCTATGGCTCATGGTTCAAAGTTTGCGAGCAGGGCTTCCGGTATCAGCTGTTTGCTACTCCAGAAAATGCTCACGCATGTTTCAACCAAAATTTCCTTCAGTCGAAAAAAACCTAAGCCCCTATACCCCAAATCCTTAACCCCAAAACCATTTAAGCAGGCACCACATGGCCCGGTCGAGCCACTGCAATGCTGATTGAGCAGTTGTACTCGGCGCTCTTCTTCTTGGCCACCTGTACTCAGGGCACCAGGATCTGGGAGGTTTTAGTTTGGGGGGCCTTTCCGTCTAAATGATGTACCAGCCGTAAACTAACGAAAAAAAGAGAAAAAAACGAGAATCACCCCAACAAAATCACAATCAAGCAACTGCAACTCTGGCTTATCTAGAGGTCGATTTTATGAGAAGACAAGAATAAAGGCTTGGGGCATGTTATACGAGAGTTGTATGACAAGTATAATGGAAGAATAGGACAATTCTTCAAGCATGTACCGTACAAACTACCCCTGGTGCTTCAAACCACTCCTTTCGCCTGGACTATGGCATTGAAGCTTCAAGCCACGCCGGCCTAAGCACACATGGGACAGAGCCTCAAAACAAGACTTTATCCCCTTGAAGGGACCATAAACGCTTTTCCCGTGTATTACCCGAAAAAAATCCCTCTCTGAGCAAGCAGCAACCCATCCAAGACACTCCTACCCCGATTCACACGGGCTACTGGTTATTTTGTCGGCCCTCTGTCAAGGGTCTTGGGTTTAGGGTAGACCTCAATGTGTTTTGGGATTTAAGGTTTGGTTTTAGTTCAAACCTGATGCCCTGGATTGCTTCCCTGAGATTGCCGCTTGACGCCGGAAGCTAGTGGGCCCGTGGCAAAATCACGACCCTTCTTCGGGTAAGCATGTCAAGCACAGCACTGGAATTTCAGCATACATCAACAAGCCCCCAATATACCATATTTCCGATGCCCAAAACAATACGACCTACAACTCGAACGCCCAAACCCAGAACACTAAACCACAAGACCCTAAGCCCCATCTTTGAGCATACATAGCCCAATCCATCGAAACAGCAATTTAGCAGCTGCTACTGTGCATTGGTCTCAAAACTTAATGAATACAGCAGATTTTGGGTAGACCCACTTCACTTCAAGCGAAGGCTCGAGCTGATTGCGGGAGGGATACATGCCAAAGAATTGCGTATGCACCTACCCTGCCATCCAACACATACATCCAATAACGCACAGAGAGCTCCCGGAATCCAGCCTCAGCGAGCGCTGACTGCAGTGCCTGGGGGGCAAGCGCCCCGCAGACGGCAGGGAGCCTAAGTTTCAGGTAGGGATTATTTTAGGATTATAAAGGTTATAGGGACCATGGGGGTGCAAGAAGGATTGCATAGAGCTTATTATATTGAGATTGTGAATGGACTACAGTTTTTGAGCTTCGGGGTCCAGGATTTTGGCAGTTGCGACACTTACAACAATCGTTTCTTTCGGCATGCCACGCACGCCCAATAGTCCGGCTTAACATGGGGAGGATACTCGTGGACCATACAAAAATCATATGATGATCATAGGTATTCTCATTTAGAGTAGGTTGGGGCAACCAAAAACTCCTTGTTACTGATACAGAGCTAGATGTTGTAGGTTGTCAAAATGAGGGTCAATTTTTGGGACCGATACAGTCCCTGATATTTAGAGCACCCTACAAGGAATCATAACTTCGACACCCTACTATATACAGTAGCTGGACGGGTGGAAAGGCCTAAACTCAACGGTCTGACAACCTGGCCACAACTCGAGCTTCAGAACTATAGTCCCCCTTAGGTAGATAGAATATGGGGTATATGGGAATTATAGTATAATATACCCAAAGCCATATTCTATCTACTTAAGGGGGACTATACATAAATGAGGGTTTAGAATCATAATGGAGAATTATATGGAAGAGAAAATGGAAATTAAATTGGCAAACTACGATGTTTTCAGGGTTCCGGGCCGTTTGATTAAATATTGGAGAATCGGCTGGAGAATGAAATGAGCTATAATCTAAAAAACTCTCCGTATCCCCCTTAACAACAATCCCCCGTTTGAAGGAGTTTTATAGACTATAGCTCAGATATGGAAACTGAGGGTGTCCAGGGGTTCTTCGCCTCAAAAGCCACCAAGGCGCAGCACCCAAGCCAAGCCTCTCAACATAGCCATTGAGCTGTCCCCCCCCCCTTCGTGCCGCCAGTGTGCAGTGCACGACTCAGAGCCAAAGTTCTGCAGAATCAGGATTTAGGGTTTAGGGTTTAGGGTTCTGGGTTGGCCCCTAAAACCCTTTGAAAAATGTCAGTATATAGGGTCCTTTATTAAAGCCATTAAGGAAAATGTTAAATGTCCCAGGGGCCTACCCAGGGTTCAGGGTCTAGGGTTTAGGGTTTAGGTTTGGTTCAAGGAATCCATCATGTACCCACAAGCCAGAACAAGCTCGTCAGTTTGTGTTGTGACTTCCTCTGTAGCCATTCTTCCTAATGTCTTGATTCTACCCGCCGCCAACTCATCTGCCCGGAACCCAGCTTGCCTGCGCAGTCTCGTAGTGTGGGCTGGCTCCTGGGGAAAGCATCACACAGCCATGTCGGAAGCCATGCGCTCTGAACCCCCCACCTCTTATCCTGCAAGCTGCGAGGGGGTTCCCAAAGCGATTTTCTGGAAGAAGGTTCGCACAGGCTCTTGGCCTTGGGTACTCTGCGCCCGTACCCTACGGGGACTAAATCCACTGTACCCACCATCCCCCCGCCTTGGGAATCCACCAAGGACCAGTCTAGAGTTCCAGCATTGCTCAGTGGAAGTGGTGACAACCGGTCCACCTGAGCCACGCTATAGACACGCCTCTCAAGCCTTAAGAGGGGGTACTTTGTAGTGGCTGCATGGGAGTAAGAGACGCTGCATAGGCTCTCCAAACTGCCGCTCTCTCTTTCAAGCAAAGGGTCCCAAAAAACTTGCATTTGAAGAGGCATAAGAACTGTCAACATAGGGGTTGTGATGGAAAGGGAACCATGGTCTGGCTCCACTTACCCTAAACCTGAAAACACAAGCCCAAAGCGCAAACCCTAAACCCTGAACCCCATACCCCAAACTGCAAACCCTCACCCCTAAACCTGAGTTTGGGTTTCCACCTGTCTCGTGCTCATCTCCAAACTTGCTGCCGATGGTGCCGGAAGGAAGCAGCTTCCTGAAATCAAAAACATGGAAATGCAATGGGGTCATATTAGGGTTATATATATAGAGGGGTTATATTAGGGGTCATACAGGGATAAAGGAAAAGAAAATGGAAACTACTATAACGGGGTGTTGGGGTTTCCAAGAATCAGGCGCCCTTGTTGCAAGTTCCTACAGTGAGGATTATACTGCATTGGGGTCGTTTTATAATTTAGGCACCGATTTATGGAAACTCCCTCATATCTGCAGACATGGAATGAACTGCAACCAAGGTAAAAACCATGTCCCAGCAAGACATCGAGCTGCGAGTTCAATCCATCAAAAGGATCTTCTGTTTAGGGTTTAGGGTTTAGGGTGCCCCGACCTAGCAACGACTAGATAATGGTTATAGTCCCCTCTTAACTAGATAGAATATGGCTTTGGGCATAAGATAAGAAAGTCCCCCTATACCCCATATTCTATCTACTTAAGGGGCACTACATGCTATGCTTGTGGCTAGGGGCAAAGGCCAGGGGATTCTTGACTTGCACCAGCAGGAAACCTGGGACTGCATGTCTTCGGTCCCTTCTCATCCCATAGTCCCCCTCAAGTAGATAGAATATGGCTTTGGGTATATTACAAGGAGACCCCATATGGGTGGTTGTCAAAATGATGGTCCCTTTTTGGATCCCTATTATAATACGGCACAAAAGATATTTAGGGTACCCCAAAAGAGACCATAGTTTTGACAACAACCCATATATCCCATTATTCTATCTACTTAAAGGGAACTATAATCTTGCCCATCCTAAACCCCAACACAAAACTCTAAACCCTATATCATATACTCCCCCATATAAGCCCCAAACCCTAAACCCTGTACTATATATTCCCCCATTTAAACCATCCAGACACGGAAGCCTCCGGGATCCAGAGCCAGCGAAGAAGCTGGAGGTGGCTGAGGCGCTTCATCCACGTTCGGCTGCTCAGCTTCAACCTGGATAGGGGTTAAAGGGGGTCTAGGGTTTAGGGTAGAGGGTTTTGGGTTCAGGGTTTAGGGTTCAGGGTTTAAGGTTTAGGGTTTAGGGCTCAAGGTTTAAGGTTTAAAGTTTAGCCGGGGCTTTGCCACTTGCATGGCCGTACCACTGCAAGGCACAATCCGGGCGAGGCAAAAGAGTATGTCCAGAGGATGCCAACTCAGAGAAGCAACACCCCGTCAGCCCTTCATGGAACACCCCCCGTTTAAAGGGTTTAAGGGTTTAAGGTAGAAATACGCTGGCCATCGTGAGATACCTAAGTGAGGACTAGAAAGGATACGACCAACACAACTATGTATAGGACCGTAAATTTCCCTAAGCAAGCGAGGTGCAGATTGTGCCGGCTGCTCGTACCCAGGCGCAGACAAGGCCTTGAAGTGACTGCAGGATAATATTTTCGTGAGTGAGATCCAACTTTGTCGAGGGATGACGGTCCACGCATGGAAACTTTGAAAAATTTGCATGACCGACTGTCTAGCTATTTGCAGCACTTCATGTACCTACCACAAGGTCGCAAAACCCCAGCCATCTTGATCATTCCTGTTTCTACTACTGCTACGACAATGACTACTGCGACCTGTACTACTGCTGCTGCTTTCGAATGACCGCAATGAGTGCAAGGCACACCACGAATCATTGCAATGGCTGTTTATTCTCAAAAGTTTTTTGGGGGACTTTACTGGAACCAAAAGCAAAGGAATGCTACATTTGAACAGTCAGATGGTGTGTCTTGTTGCCATGAACTCTGTAGATGGCAGGTTAATGCCCGGAAGAACTCCTTTTCAAACTCACCGATTCATAGGCGGGTCTCTCAGGACACCCCTGAAGCTCCTACAGCGGGATGTCATAGAATCCGGGCTCCCTGGAAGGTCCCGTGTGACTGGTAAATCCTCGACATGTCGCAGGTACGTGGGCACCGACAACACCCCCGTGATTTTGAAAATCCCATAAACTCCATGAAGGTTCTTTTTACATCCTTGCGAAAGGTTGCTCAAACCCCGGGTGGTGAAGCTACGATTGCACTGGGCAGCTTGAGGAGCAGCTGCGTCGCCAGCCATATCGACAGTGGCCACTGGAAGCTTGACAGCTTCCTACAGGGCCAGGCAGGGAAGGAGCGGGTTTGCTCTGGGATAGGTCTCGGGCTCAGAAAATTTCGTCCATAATACTCAAAAGTCATTTCCAGGACTACTTTCTGGCTCTAACGTTCTTAGTAGGGAATGGAAAATCAAAATGAACAAATAAAGGAAAATAAAATGGAAACTGAGCTTTCTTAGGAGGGCTGCAAAACTATATAATACTACTTTGGGCCGGGGGGGTTATATAATCTTATATCGTGGGTCCGTGCTTTTCAGCATTACGGGCAAACGGAGGAGCAGCAGCAGAAATCTTAGCAGTGGTAGTAATTGCGGTGGCAGTGACGGTGGCGGTGGCGATTTTCGGTGAACTACCATTTAATGAGAGGTGAGGTGAGGTCGCGATGATTTGCCTAGAAATTCTACCATAGCAGTTCATCTCTGGGTACAAAGCCTACCAAAAAACCAGAGACAAGCCCCAAATGGCCGCCATTTTGGAGGTCCCCATAACAAGTAAGAATCAGAATACTTGAGGTCTAATGTGGGCTCTCCCTATCTATGGACACTATCAAATGGCCTTTGGCATGGGAGCTGGCTCCAAGCTCGATTCCGCTGCAAGCTCCTGTTTCAGGATTGTGCATGAACCATTGCAATATCAAGGACGCCCTCAGCTTGGTAGTTACCAGGTGAGTGCCGCCCATATAAGGGTAATGTGGGGCTTTATAGGCCTCCTCCAAAAATTGCCATGTCACGCACGAACCGGAGGGTACCCACCTGATATCACCTGATAACTATAACTAGGCACCTTGGGTTTCCATGAAACTGCAAATCAAATGAACTTGCTGACTGGACACGTTCAGGTAGCACAATATATGATGTAGCTCTGCAGCTTCTGCATGAAACTGAATAGTTCTCAGACAAAAAACCTTATGGAATCCATAATCAGGACCCGATGATCCCCTACTAGCCCCTTATCTATATGTATTTAAATATAAAAATATATATGTATACGCATATGTGTTTCTAGGGCCGCCCTTTTTGAGAAGATCCCTGCAGTTTATCAACTTCACCCTCTTTCGGTCCCCTCTGAACGGCTCCTGAAGACCCAGCCCAGGCTCACAAGAACTCTCGGGAGGCGCTTCCTGGGACCTCATTACAAGGCCCGTGCACACTGGAGTTCACCAGAAGACGTCTGAATTCAAAAATCTATATATACCACCTTAGAATCATGTTGTCTACGACCCCAGTACAATAAGCCATATAGACTATAATTATAATGACTTATATGTACTTACGTAAAAAATGTTTGGGGCTGCTTGTGGGGGGCCCAAATAGCACGTCCCGATAGGTCCGGCATTGTATCAGGTAACGAAAAATGGACAATGATATTCGCGAATGTCTGCGGAAAGGGTCCTGCTCTAAAGGTTGGGTTGAAGATGGTGGGAGCTCAGGTGACCAAACGTCGTTGTTTTTGCGCGCCAAGGGATTCACGGAAGCGTTCGCGGAAGCGTTCGCGGAAGTGTTCGCGAAAGCGTTCGCAAAAGCATTGGCGAAAGCGTTCGCGAAAGTGTTCGCAGAAACGTTCGCAGAAACGTTCGCGGAAACGTTCGCGGAAGCGTTCGCGGAAGCGTTCGCAGAAGCGTTCGCGGAAGTGTTCGCGGAAGCGTTCGCGGAAGCGTTCGCGGAAACGTTCGCGGAAGCATTCGCGAAAGCATTCGCGAAAGCATTCGCGGAAGCGTTTGCGGACGCGTTCGCGGAAGCGTTCCTGCATTCGCGAGAGTGCGTGGAAGCGTTCGCGGAATCGTTTGCGGAAACCTTGGCAGAAGCCTGAGCGGAAGCCTTCGCGGAAGCCTTCGTAGAAGCGTTCCCGGAAGCGTTTCCGGAACGCGTTCTGGAATCGCCTGTGGAAACG